GCTTCGGATGAGCGACCACACAGATCTTCTCACTGAGCGCACGAGTTCACGTCTTCTGGCTCTTTAATATTATTAAATATTATAATATTAAGCAAGGCTTAAATGAGTTTAGTTTAAACACAGATAGCAACGTGTGCTGTTCAGGTCTCACCTGCGCTATCAACACGTGATGACGGCATAAATGACAGTTATTCCAGCATAAAGCACTCGCATTGATTAAAGAGTGACTGGTTTGTCCACGTTTTGTTTTTTTTCTCTCTCTCATCGCTCTTGTTGTAATGTATTGGGAAGCCAGAATTTGTATCCATCAACAGACACATGCATTAGCCGAACTCTAACAAACCATATTACAGATGCATTGTCAGATTTAAGTTGAACCGCGGTCCTAGTGTATGCCGAACCGTGTGTGGAGAACGGTACGGTTTGATTTTTTACCGAGAACCACTGCACACCTAACCTATACGTAAAACATTTTTGTGCCAATACTTTTTTTTAATATAGTAAAAAAAATAAGCACTTTCACACTTTTTTATGCAATATTTACTATAAATCATTGAAAATGTTTTTTTAATTGATTGATTGATTGATTGATTGCTTAAATAATAAGGTATCTGTTCTACTGGGATTTTGTCTTTTAGACAAGTTCTCACACTAAAAGTTGATGCAAGGGATTAAAAGTGAATCAAATGACTGTAAAAAAGTTTTAAAGAAAAAGAAGCAAATGAAAAACCAGAGAAAAGGACACAGAGACGTGACTGAGAATGTGGGAAAAGAAACAACTGCACATCTGTAGACCAGTGGAATAATTCATGGGACATTGTTCATTATATTGGTTGACCACATTGCGAGACGTGACTGAGAATGTGGGAAAAGAAACAACTGCACATCTGTAGACCAGTGGAATAATTCATGGGACATTGTTCATTATATTGGTTGACCACATTGCAAGACGGCTTCTGTTGTCTGTCATATTGAGTGATCAGAATAAAAAGAAGCCACAACCTTCAACATAGCACCAGATAAGCCTAAAAGCAAGAGAAGTTCTTCTGATATCAATGTCACATAGAAAGTACCAAGAACTACAATATTTACAGACAAAAAACTATGGTAAATTTACAACCCAGTCCATCAACGTGACAAATAATGATTATTTGTAGCATTACTGCACACACACTCTCCCTGCCAACCTTTCATGCTGGATAACCACAGTTCTGATGTTATAAGTGATTGAAAATTTTGAGAACAGAACAGTCACCCAGTGAATTCTATTTATTTTTTCTTTCTTTAAAAACCTGAATAAATCCATTCATCAGTATGAAGAGATGAAGCTGTTTGGATGTTTGGAATGAGTCATTGTTGGAAAAACTGGTTAAAGCTCCCAGAGGACTATGGGCCCTGTGGTCAATCCATACCTATTCATTTGTCATCAATAAAGTCGGCATGAAATCAAAATTTACCCTATTGGCTTTTTCAATGCACATTCCAAGTAATATTACATTTGATCATTCATCAGTGTATAACATTTTGAATAAAATAAAGTTATTTTATCAAAATGTAATGTAAAATGCTCAGCCTGTGAAACTGCTTCCCTTATGAATGACTCCTGCTCTTTCAACCACCTACTATAGCTCTATTCTGCTATATAATTGACTTTTATTTTTGAAATTCTAATCCCACCCCACATTTTTTTATTACTGAATATCCACTTTCACTCAAAAGTTAAAAAAATACTGTATGTCAGATTTCAGAATGTAAAATATATTGGCATATATCAGCCATTTCTACATATCGGCACTGGCTATTGGCTATATAGGTCAACCACTATTACAGAGGTTGAAAAAAAAAGAATTACATTTTGATAAAAACATTTTTTTTCTTTAGGATAATGTGCCCTGGCACGTCAAGCATGGGGTCAGTTTTGATTTCATGACTGAACACTTTCCATATGGAGGGATTTTGTGGTTGGCTTCTCCAAATGGTTACTGGTAAATTACTTTTGGGTAGTATGAAATTGTGCATCAGATACACAAGCTGCAATTTTAGAGCTGACATGATCTACAGTCATTAAGCGTGTCTTTATTTATTCAGATTGGGGCTAATTAGCATGGCGACTTCAGCACACGTGCCAATATGACATTCAAGGCACAATAATAGCATGGCTTCATTTCCTGTCTAGGCTCTCCTATCGTAAGGCCAAACTAATTATCTCAGCTGAAATGTCCCTCTTGTGTGACTGAAAGCTTAAATGATATGATGAACCCATGATATATCTCACAAACAAAAGCTTCTTTCGGACCATAAATCTACTGGACTCACTTTATGTGATTTTGGGCTTCAAATGGAAATGCTGGTCAGTTGAGCTCGGATCACTATTATTGATCCTCTCACCTCCATCACTGACCTTTTACTCTCAAATGGAGACCTCGAATTTGATGAAAGGATGATATGAATAGAGGATTCATCCAGCATTAAAGTCATTCTGTATCTCACAAGCTCTTCACTGCTCTGCCTTTGGAATCTATATCATTTATTTCATCCAGTCTCACATGTAAATAATTCATCCTGGAAGACAGAAACTGCCATGAAAAGTTTGTTTCTCTTTCTAATAGAAAGTCCCAAAGAAACAGTCCTCGTTCTCCCTCTCTCCTGTCTCTGTTCTCTCTGAATCCTTTGCTGTTTTCTATGGAAATAACTGAATGTGGCAGAGCTAATGCTGAGAGAATGGATTTAATTCATTAAAAATAGGTTTTTGTCTACATTTTATTGTATTTGACATATTACTACGTAAAAACAACATACCGTAATGTGTTCTGGGACTGTATGCAGCCAATATCCACTTAGTCTCTCTTTCTCATTGGCCTGTGCCCAGATATAGTGTGTTGGGCAAGTGCCCAATTTGTACTACAAAAGCATCGAATCTCTGGAGCATGACTAACAAAATCCCTTAATTCAAACCAAGTGTTCCTCCGTTCCCTCAGGAACACAAAGAGGAAAGACAGAGAAAATCCTGTGATCCTAAGAAAACACAACAGCTCCTTCCTGTCATTAAACAACAGAAATTGACAGATTTATTGACAGATGTAATGACATCAGAGACAAGTGGCCGACATAATCCTAACCTGACTACTGCAGGTGTCACCAATACAAAATCAAATATTTAATGAAAATAGCAAATGAGTATCAAATAACACTGATGCTTAAACAAATATATAAAAAGTAGTGATAGACCACGTCCACAATGATTTTAAAACAAATCACATGGATAGAAAAGTATGTTTGTACTAGGGCTGCACAATAAATCGCCTGCGATATTTAATGCGCATCTTGTCAGAAAGCCGGTTCTGTAATCAGTGGTAAATCTCCATCACCTGCGGGCTTTCACATTGAGCAGCATTAACTACACAGAGCCGTTGTTTACTGACGAGCTGCGCAAAAAATCGCGCGAATATGAACGTGGTTTTGCGCAGCTCCTTCATAACACTGCTTAAACGTGCGAACATGTCATACGCATTCGCACGAAGTGCACACGAAGCATGCATTACATACAAGCACTGTCTAATTATTTTCATGCAAAGAAATGTGAAGCATTATTGAACCTGCATGCATTTATTTTAATTCATGTATGTTAGAAGGTCATATTTGTGTATTTCTGAGAGACTACTATATACTGTCAAAGTAAATCTTACATGTTCTTCTTACATGCACTTTAGTAAATCTTACATGTTCTTCCCCAGTTTCCTAATTTGAAAACTACTACTACAAATGTAACATTATTATGTTAATACCTTAAAATTTGAAATACCTATGAATTACTCTTTAAATAAGTCTGGGCACCCCTCAAATTTCCTTTTGCCTAATTTGGCCATGAAAAGAAAATAGTTGAAGGGCTCTTTCAATATAAATTAAAATGTATATCTGGGCATTATAGCTCAGCATATCTACTCTACATGTTTAAAGCCCATGCCAATAAAACTTTTAAAACTGGGGTAGTCAACAGTGGATCTGTAGTGTAACAGCTCACAGAGGATTTGGCTGCTCTGACTAGATCAATTTTATAAGCACCTAATCAATACGATCTATGCACAGGATCAATATTCCAGATCCACTCAGAGGATCTACAGCAGAAACCCAAATGCGACTGCATTTGATCCCTGGGACTGGCAGTGCCCTATAGACACACTAAGTGGCTTTAGTTTAGCCAGAAAATTTAGATTCACTTTTGGTCTGTTTTAGGGATGCACCGAATGTTCGGCAACCGAAATTATTCGGCTGAAAATAGCAAAAAAAGCTCTTTCGGTGTTCGGCCGAATAAGCGAAAAGACCGAATAAATTGTACCGAAAAAACGTGTTCAGTATTCGGCCTTCGGCTTCAGCCAAGAATTTTCATTTCGGTGCATCCCTAGTCTGTTTCAAACTAAAAGTTATTATATGGCTTTAGAAGCTTTGGGAGACACTACATATGTAGTACACAAAACTGTTTTGATAGTTTTATGGGACTTTTTGGCAGCCTGACAGTGACTTGAAATCAAGGTTCATTCAAATAAGCAGAGCGGCTCAGACATTCTGCAACATGTTTCCTTTTGTGTTTCTCAGAAGAAAAAACTCTTCAAAGATATTACAGTGAGTAAATGATTACATAATTTTCATTTTGGGTGAACTATGCCTTGCTAAACATATTTAAAAAAAACAAATTTTTTTTTTTGTTCCCGTCTCTCACCTTCCATGACATAGACGAGGGAGCCCACATCCCCTTCTTTAATAATACAGCTGTTTTTGTCATTGTCCACTGGATACATACAGTCCACTATCTCCTGGATCTGAGACATCTCCAGATTCTTCATGAAGTCATTGTCCAGAATAGCTGACTTGATCAGTTCCTTTGACCTGTACAGTGCAGGAAAACATTGTTAAATAGGCCCACATCATTTAATTAACACAGATAATAATGACTATGCCTGAAATAGAAACTTACTGCTTACTGCTCAGAATACACTAAATACAACTATTTAAAAACTTGTTTGTGAAACAAAATGCATTATGCAACTATAAACATTTCAAACAGTATCATAGTACAATATGACCTTATGACCTCATTATGATTATGTGCGAATTTAATTCCATGAGTGGTGTCCACTTATCATTTTTAATCTTAACTTTTGGCAATTCAATCAAACTATGAGTAGAAAAAAATAGTAAAAATAACAGCTGATACTATTAATATTGTTATGCATGGCCGGCAGTTTCATTCATCACAAGAAATTTGAAGGTAATGCAAACACATTGCATTGTGGGATAGAGGATCCAATGCACTGTACTTTGTTGTACACATTTTGGCAAATGTTGTGCATCATCTAGGTATTACAATTTGCACACTATGCATACTATATACACATTGTCGAAACAGTAAGAACTGCATGACAGTATGGAAATCCAAATAATGTGATGCTTCAGGAATGAATCCACAAGGAATGTGTGTTTAAAAAAAAGATGAAGAGGGTATTTCAAGAGATGAAAGTAAATACACAAAATCTCTTAGTTGGCGCTGGACGTCATAGCAATCAAAAATCAGAATACTAGCTGAAAATGAGGTTTGCATCACAGACATACACAAATACACACATTTCAAGTAATTAAAATTCAATATAACCTCCCAAACAGGGACTCGGTAATGAACATTTTCTGAAATGCACCTCATAGCAAAATAATTCCAAAGATTATTCTGTGAAATATCAGATGTTCTCTATTTTTTCATGAAAAAATACTTCAGTAATGTTCAGAGACTGAGTTATGAAGAGTGTAAACACTGTGCCTCTCAAAACACTGCTTTGATTGTCAGACAGATCTTCTTGCACAACCATTTTGAAGTGGATCTGTTTGACTGAAAAATGTAAGACGGATTTGTATTTTGAAAACCTGTATTTTAAAACCTGCTTAGAGAGTCATTATGCAATTCAAGTCATTATTTATGCAAATCCATTTAGTTCTGCTAATGACATTTAATTGCTCAAGTGCTAGTGGATGGAAAAACCTGAACTGATGTGGTAGAATATGTTCTTTAAATCTGATTATCGCTGTTTATATGACAATTCCGAGCACTCCTCAACAAAAAGCCTATCATCGTGACAGCAGCTCCTCTGTTTTTGTGGACCTGGACTTAAGCCAGACTTCTGATTTATTTGCAAAAACCCACAAACGCTCACCTATGAACCACACTGTGTTTACATTCCACAGACATGCTCCGCCGCGAGCAAAAACAGACCTTTTTTTTTCAAGATGTCTGCAGTACTTCACGTAGAACTCCTTTCATTTGGCTCACACACACACGGACAGTCTCACCCTGAGGAAAATTGTATTGACTTAAAGATATAAAAATAGAAACAAATGAGACAACTATTGACATACATTACAATAAAATTAAAGAGCAATGAAATAAAAGTGAATAGCACTGCTCAGTTGATTTGGTGTAACTGGAATCTGATCTGATCTGGAATCTGATATTTGAGATCATATTGAGGGTGCTTTCACACCTGTAGATCGATTGCTTTCTTCCGAAACAAGGATTAAAATTATTACAATGTTGCTTTTTATTCTTGGTGCGGTTCGCTTTCACATGGCAAAGTTTCTAAACGGACCAAATTTGTTAATACAAGTCATGCGTGAGTAAACTGTTCTCTCATTGGTCAAAGTTCCACGGGTTATTTTCCGGGATTCCACTTAGCTGTCACGGCTGTCATCCGTCAGGATGCAACGACATCAGCTTTGCGGGCTTATTGTTTTGTTTTTGTTTTTTTGTAGCTGTCGTTATATTAATTTATCATTTTGAGCAGGAGTCCAGGATTCATCGGGAAAACATTTTTAAAATGCACCTACTAGGAAGAAGAGCAATAACACGGCATTATAAAATGAAAAAGTGCGCTTTTTTATTTTGAACGGCGAAGACGTGCATTCAAAATTCAAAATTTGTTAATACAAGTCACGCGCGAGTAAACTGTTGTCTCATTGGTCAAAGTTCCACGGTTTATTTTCCGGGATTCCACTTAGCTCTCACGGCTGTCATCCGTCAGGGTGGAACGATAATAGCTTTGCGGGCTTGTTGTTGTTTTTTTTTTGTTTTTTTTTTGTAGCTGTCCTTATATTAATTTATCATTTTGAGGCGGAGTCCAGGATCTCACTACAACCGAACCGCTCCAGTTAGTTTTCAATCGAGCCGAGACCACCTCGTTCAGGCGATCTCGGACCGATTGTTTTGGCGCGGATCCGGGCGCGATTGCCGTGTTCACATATGCCCAAACGAACCGAGCTAAGGGGGGAAACGCGCCACATTCCGAAACAACGAGCCAGGTGTGAAAGCACCCTGAGATTAGTAGGGTCTTGAGGAGAAATATTTAAGCAGCAAGACATTTCAGCAAACATCTTAATTTGTTTTCAGTATAAAGGAATAGTTAACCCAAAAATTAAAATGTACTCACCCCCTCGGCCATGCAAGATGCAGATAGGTTTGTTTCTTCATCGGAACAGGTTTGGAGAAATGACTTGCTCACCATGGATCCTCTGCAGTGAATGGGTGCCATCAGACTGACAGTTCAAACAGCATAAAAACATCACAAAATCCACAAGACTCCAGTCCATCAATTAACATCTTGTGAAGCGAAAAGATGATTGTTTGTTAGAAATAAATACATCATTAAGCCATTTGAACTTTAAACGGTCGCTTCTGGCCAAAATAAAAGTTCTCTATCCATAATAATACTCTTTCCAGTAAAAAATAAATAATTCATATCAAAATCCACAACATGTTGAGATCTGTTTTGGACTGTTTTCACTTGTAAATGGAACTTGATCTGTGCATATTTCTCTCCTGATTCAGACTTTTTTCACTGGAGAAAGCAGTATTTTGGAGAGTGAACTCATATTTTAATTAGAAACAACAATTTAAACTTAAGAATACCTTAATAATGGATATTTCTTACAAACACACAGCTTTCCTCTTTATATGACACAAATTGATGGACTGGAGTCAGGTGAATTAAATGTGGATTATTTTGATGTTTTTATCAGCTGTTTGGATTCTCATTCTGATGGTACCCATTCACTGCAGGTGATCCATTGGTGAGCAAGTAATTTCTCCAAACCTGTTCCAATGAAGAAACAAACTCATCTGCATCTTGGATGGCTTAGGGGTGAGTACATTTAAATTTTTGGGTTAACTATTCCTTTATATTGAAAACAAATTAAGATGTTTGCTGATGTTTGATTTAATGCTAAATTTCTCCAAATCTGTTCTGAAGAAGAAACAAACTCATCTACATCTTGGCTGGCCTTGGGATGAGTAAATTTTCAATTTAAATTGACATACATTTTAATTTTTTTTAGCTATCAAAACATAAACCGACATGCACACAATAAATAAGCCACCTGAAGGTCCATAAAGGTGTTTACATGCAGAGCAAAATCAGAGTAATCTCTGCAAGACTTGTGTGGTATTTTTGTATGGCAGTCTGAATTCTAGAGGACATTGGCTCTCTGGGGGAACAGTCAGGGGAGATGTTTTACATCCAGTAAAAGCACAGAGATCACTGGCCTCATTTACAGCAGACAACCTCGGGATCATCCTGTAACCAGTCTCTGTTTGACTTAGAATTTTACTCACTGCCTTTTTCAGGAGGACATTCACATCACACAGGTCGACAGACTGTCTCCCTTAAAAGGACAAAATATGCTACGGCTTAAAGCAGAGTAAATTGGAGAAAGCTGTGGACATGGAGCCACAATGGCTGAACGTCTGCAAGAAAGTTTCTTAGGCCTTTTGTTTGTCTTGCAACATTTTTCGTCAAGGGAATATAATTTAAAATACTTTAACCGACTCGAGATGAATAATGCCACTTTTGTCTTCTGTAGAGCTGCTTATAGCTGAACTAAACTTTTATAATTTCATAATTAAAGAAGTTTAAAGTTATTGAACTGAACAGAACTATAAACACTCGAGCTGAATAATGACACTATCGTTTTGGTAGAGCGGCTTTACAGCAGAATTTGAATTTGTCTCATATTTGATGGTTTGCCTTCAATGATTCTGTTATTTTCCTGTTTATTAGTGTGAAGCTGCTTTGAAACAATCTGTACTGTACAGTATAAAGTTTCTCTGAGACTGGTGGGTCTGTATTGATTCACATACCCTGGCCTCACTGCACAATCACTCTGGCCTCATTGGAAAGACATCGGTAGCTCTGTGGTCATCTGTAGATGTGTGTGCTAATGAGTTAATGGCTCTATCTTCCTCTATTCTCTGTTCTGTACATTTTCTGTGCAGAGTGCTAAAACAGGAAGCAAAGACTCACTGCATATAGCAGCTCATACTGCACATGACATTGCATAATAGCCTGAGACAAATGAATGACCAAGTTGATTTATTTCTCTACATTTAGGCTTACTCTGCAGAATGAAGCCGCAAATAATCTTTCCCTTATTTTTTGCATTGCAGATATAAAAATGGTGATGCTTATGCCTGTAAGTGCATTGTTGTGGTTGCTTTTAGCCATATTCTAACTCAGTGGAATAGAATAGAATCTATATTTAAACCCACACAACTGAACAAATAGTTTCTGCAACTTTTGTACAAAGTTGCCATTGAACAGCCATGAACTTGATACAGGGACAGTCAACCTGAATCAGTCTGGTTAAGTTAGACCACTCTGCAGGCATACTGACATTTTCTATTTCTGTAATAGGTATACAAGTACTAAAACGAGAATTAAATCTATTAAAAATAAGTTTTGGTTATTGAATAAAATATAAATATTAGATGAAAAAGCTCAACTTAAATGTTGCTTTGGGAACTAACTGAAATAAGTTTAAATTTAAATAGTAAAATTACTTAAAAATGTTAAAAAAAATGTATTAAAGCTATATAGAAATATTTGACAAACTAATAACAATGACAATAAAAAAACAGCATTATTAACGATTAAAATAGAATTAAAATGAAAACTAAAAATATAAAAATTAAAGGAATTACAAAATATTAATAAACACTGTAATCATATCTGTTTTAAAGGGGAAACTGTTGAGTAAGCTTATGATTTAATAACAAATTTTAAAATGCTAACAAAATCTGACAAAATGGTAACAGAGCCACTGTGTAGCTATTGTTAATGTCTTAAATGTTGCTTTGGGAACTAACTGAAATAAGTTTCAATTTAAATAGTAAAATTACTTAAAAATGTAAAAAAAAAATGTATTAAAGCTATATAGAAATATTTGACAAACTAATAACAATGACAATAAAAAAACAGCATTATTAACGATTAAAATAGAATTAAAATGAAAACTAAAAATATAAAAATTAAAGGAATTACAAAATATTAATAAACACTGTAATCATATCTGTTTTAAAGGGGAAACTGTTGAGTAAGCTTATGATTTAATAACAAATTTTAAAATGCTAACAAAATCTGACAAAATGGTAACAGAGCCACTGTGTAGCTATTGTTAATGTCCATGCACAACAAGACAAAGCAGTGTCTTTACCAATAAGCCAGTCGGTTTTACTTGAAAAATAAACTTCCTTTCTTACAGCTGACATATTGAACCATTTCTACCATTCATTTTCTACAGGCTCATGGCTCACTCCTTGTGAAGATCCAACGTGCAACCTTGCAGCTTTAACCACTAAGAAACATGACAAAGTTTTCAGATGTGTGATGAATTCTCACATCCAAAGGACAAAGGGTCCAAGACATTCCTATTTCAGCGCAGAACTTCTGATCTCTGATATTTCAAAAGACCTCAGACAGCCCAGGTGTCAAAGATGAGTTCAGAAGATACATTTCAATCAAGACTTTAAAAAAAAAAATTCTGGTCTTTCATTTTAAGTGTAACAAGTGCCACTGCAAAGGTAACTGCAAAAAAGAATCAGAAACAAGATGCAATTATGAGACAGAGACATGGTGAGTGACATTCAAATGGCAAAAACACACTCTACTGAAAGAAAAGAAAGGGGTACGTCACTCACTATTATGAATTTTGCCGAAAACACAGTATTTATCTTTACTTCGAAGAAAAAAAAAGAAAGCAACAGAACAGTGAATACATTAATGCATCAGCAAAGAAAGACACTCAGAATAAAGATAAATGGATTTTCATCCAAAAATAACAGTCATCTCTCTGACCACACACAAAGATATAGAATCCTCTTCCAACACATTATGAGCTTTTGAAGAGTAAACCAATATTGATGCCAGTTTGTTCCCATCTGGCAGCCCAACACGGAAGCTTTTTTCATTTAAATTGTTATAATCATTCCTTAAAGTGCTGATCAGCTCAAGATAAAAGCAGAACAGAAGAAAAGACTGTGCTGCGATAGGGTTCAGAGGGTTTTCCTGTACAAAACAAGGTTACGTTGTAAATTAGTACAATGTTGAGCTGTCAAATGTCAGATGCACAGCAGATGGGGGAGGCCATTAAACAGAAGAGTGATATTCCTCTGCTGCTAAACCACTAGATGCAAACTAATTAAGGGTATGTGTGTTCATGACAGCAGGCTGAAACACAAAAATCCTTCACTTCCAGGGGAACTGTGTAGTCTGATCAGATCCTCTGGTCTTGACAGTGTCTATTTCAATTGAAACACAACACGACACACCATTGTGTGCATAATAACAGCTGAGCATGTAAATAACTTTCGTGATCCACCTGCTGCACGATATCACGCTGCTTTGATAAGCAAATTACCAGTCCGTTGAACAAAGCAGTTATTATAGTCTTTGGGTATTTCCCACGTCACTGCTTCTATAACTGCTCAGTACGGACACATTATTCCTGGTTCAGATGTTTCCTTGTGGAAAATCAAACTTTCTTGGAGCGTCATCAATGAGACGCTTCTACAAATGTTAATGAATGGCATTTTGAACAGAGTATAATGAGTTTGTCTCTGTGAGTTTTCAGATTTCAATTGTGCAACCTGCACAGCCCATGATATTGCTGTCCCTTTCAAGAAAGTTACTATGGTAACCATTGCCAAAATGCCACAGTTAGGATGAAACATTGTGTAAAAATAACATATTTACAAGTTACTATTTTAGCAAAACCTAAAGTCATTTTATGGATGATGTTCTGAAGAACAGCAGGTGAATTCAGTAAAGTTTAAAGTATGCATTCTGTTCTTGTCCACAATATTTATGCAAAAAGCAGTGTGTCAAATCAGTATACAGTGTCCAAATACACAGTATGACACACTAGGCAAATATTTGGTGTACTGAGGCATCTTCTGAAGTGAAGCTTCTTGTCTCCTTGTAGGGATCCATCCATTTTACAGGGTTTAAGCTAACCTTGGGTTCTGTGGGAATGGATCTTGTCAGATTCAAAAGTTGAAAAAACAAAAAATATATATATTAAAAAAAATTGGTAACTGTTAGCTGGGCGGCTTTTATTTAAGTGCAAGAAAGTTGTTTCTCATCGATTGTTGCTGTTAGTATGCTACTTTTATGGTTAGATGTATTTATAGAGCTTCATGTGGTGTTTAATAACTTTAATTCCTCAAATAACACATTGAACGTTTTAAAGACAGCATAACGTGGTGATGACTCCACTTTGTAGCCTATTAAAGTTTAGGTGGCATTTAGGTATTGAGTTTCAGGTAGTATTTGATCGTTTTATTGACGCATTCGATGGCTTAAATGTAACATTTGATTACTTTTATGCCGTATTTAATGATTTTGATGTTATATTGTATCGCGTTAACCTACTTGGCACTCTTGGGGACGTTGGGCAGGGTCACGTGACTCAGCTGCTGGACGTTGGCGGGTTCGGCACTGATCGCCTGGCGTTTGGTGCGCTGATGCTCCTGCAGCTCCGAGCGGCTCTGGACCTGTTGGGTCGCCGGGCGGATCACGGAGCGGTACTTATCCAGTTCGTTCTGCAGTTTCTGAATGAGTTCGTCTTTCTGGTCCAGTTCGAGCTCCAGTTCGTCAATGAGCGCGTCTCTCTGTCTCAGTTCTTCAATTTTCTCCTGAAGCGCGTACTGGAGGTCGCGTAATGTCCCCATCATCATCCCTTCCGAGCCGAATAAAGCCACTTTTAGCAAGTTTACTTGGAGAAGAAACACCGTGCACTAAACCAGCGTCTATTCTAGTCTAAAAGGACCTACAAAACGAGAAGAACCCGTGGAGAGGGGAAAAGTATCGCAGTGTATCCGTGTAAAAAAAGAAAAAGGAAAGAGGCAGCGCTCAATCCCACAGAGCCGCTGGAATCTTCACAGCTCTGACAGGAGCGCATCCGTGTGAGCGCGAGTCGCTCGTGGGCAGTGACGTGATGAATGAGTGGAGCTCGCTCGCGCGCGTCACAGAAGGGCGCGGGATTCCTGGACAGTCAGTATACAGAGGTTCAGCTCTGCACAGCTGATAACCGTTCAATTTTTGAGACAAACACTTTATAGTAATCCAGAACTAGGCTATATAAAATACCCAATTTTCTAGCAGTGGCCTTACATGTCTGTTTAAAACACCTACAGCTAAATCATTTTAAAAGTTTTTAAATTCCTTGTTTTATTTTTGTGATTCTTTTTTTATGATTATTTTACTTCCTTTTATGTAAAGCACTTTGAATTACCTTTGTGTATGAAATGTGCTATATAAATAAACTTGCCTTGCCTTGCCTTACAGCAGTTAAAAACTGAATTATCCCTAAGCCTGGAGATATGAGGTCATGGAAGTCAAAGAAATTCCAAACCAAATCCTAAAATTCCATTTTTATTTGTACTATAACTGTTGGTTAAACAAACTAACATACTACCAAACATTAATACAAAAGTCAACTATACTATATAGGCAGAAAGGCTTTTCTGAGGACAAGACCAGGTGAGTTGTCACATGTGTTATATGGCACATATATATGAAGAGTTCATTTGCAAAAACCGATAACTCCATTTTTATTTTTTCAGAAATCACGTTTTTTTTTATTGCGCATTCCAAGTAATATCAATCAAACTGCAGTTGGATTGTTTTGATTAGGTAATAATAACTTAAAATACAGGTAATTTACTAAATTAAAGTTAATTGAAAGTATTGTTTTTTACATATTAAAGGGGTCATATGTTGCGATTTCAATTTTTCCTTTCTCTTTGAAGACTGGTCGCTGAGGAAATGCATCAACTTCGCGCTGTGGATCGCCGTATCGGCATTCACCGTGGACGAAGCGGAGTCCAGCCTGGGGTCGTCACATGTGGTTGCCGCAAGCCCGCCGGATGCTCCTT